AGATGAACCTGCTACTAGTGAGTTGTCATACCCTCAAACATCCATCCTGACTCTAAAAACTAGACAGGGGGCACTGAAGACCTCTGGGGGCATGTAGGGACCATGAGGGCATTATGTGGGGTCTTTATTGGGAAAATTGTGCGTTGTTTTGACGACTCCTACCATAAACCCCGAACCCTAAGCCCTTAACCCCATACCCTGAACCCCAAACCTAAACCCTAAACCCCATACCCAAAATACAAACCTTAAACTCAAAGCCCCAAACCCTGAACCCAAACCCTAAACCCTAAACCCTAAACCCCTAAACCCCCTAAACCTCCCAAACCCTGGGCCAGGTCCAAAGGCTCCTGCAAGGCCACGTGAACCCCATCTCTGCCACCGCCGTCTCAAAGGCCTAGGGTTTAGGGTTTAGGGTTTAGGGTTGGGGGTTTAGGGGTTTAGGGTTTAGGGGTTTAGGGTTTAGGGGTTTAGGGTTTAGGGGTTTAGGAGTGTAATGTTCAGGGTGTAGGTTGAGATGGGTTTAGGTTCAAGCAATATCTACCCTAAACCCTAGACCCTAAACTAGGGTGTAGGGTTTAGGCTTGAAGGTTGTGATGTTTGGGGCTTAGGCTTCTGTAAGAACCGTTTTGGTGCGTTTGCGGCAAAGCTTGTTCACAACAAAATGGTAGAGGCGTGTATCAGGGAAGCCGTCCTACTAAGCCGGTGGAAATGGCGGTCTGGGGGTTTAGGCTTTAGGGTCTAGAGTGCAAAGGCAAAGCATGCTAACTAGCGGATTCCAAGAGAGTTGTGGTCTAGGTGTAGTGTGCGCGCGTAGCGATCGGCAGTTTAGTTTTGATGGGTTGTAGATCTGCGTTCGGGGCTTCAAGACTTAGAGTTTCGTGATTTTGGGGAGAGTGGCAAAACTGCACTCCCTAAACCTTAAACCCCAAGCGCGGCAGCGCGACAGCCTTGCCTACAGAGGGCCGGGGGGCTTCTTGAACAGCAAGCTTACTTTTTCACATGCTGCATGCAGGAAATGCCCCGCTACAAACTGCCCATGATTGTTGATAGGTTGCCCATGAAAATGGCGTTGAACCATGGATTAGTGCTAAATGAGAACCCTACGCATTTTCATCATTGACTTGAGCTAATTCGGAGCGCGAATATCATGCTGTGGGCTCAGATGCTTGCTGACTGAAATCTTCTAATCGTAAGCATTCCGTGAGAACGGCAGATTATGTCGCAGAAGGAGGCACCCCTGAAGCAGAGGGTGTAGGGATTCGGCGCGTTAAACCATCAAGAGAGGACTCCTGTCTACATAGGGAATGAAGTGGCAGCCTGATGCTGTACCACCCCCAACCCAAAAACGAACAACTCACGCTGTGGGGAGGGGGGACACATCAAGCCAACATCCTTGAAGGCATGGCTTGTGTTTAGATGTAGGGTCTAGGGCATGGAAGAGTGGATATTACAAGCATATATGATATGATCAAGATACTATGTCGGCTCTGTGTTTAGGAAGGGCTTTGATATGCAAGAGTGGAGATATCAGCTGGGACAGCCCTTGCAAAGGACAAGAAGTGGATTGTGACGGCCGACACTGGACCGGACAGCATGATGGTTGTTTGGGAGCGTGAGCCGAGGGCTGAGAGAGAAGTTTGAACAAGGGTCTTTATGAGGATAGCCTAAATTCTGGTATGCTGTCTGAACTTTCCAAAAATCTTTCTAGGATAGTCTGGAGGATCATGTTCATGGATAGCTGTACCAAAGTCTGCCTGGACCTCATTATTTACTCTATACCCATATTATGGTACTTGGACTGAGTTCCTGAACAGCAACCCAGAAAAATTCTTCTGCCCTCCATTAGATTCAGATGACCCAGCACTCCACAAGCCCACGCCGGCCATGAAATAGCTAGGCTTTGTCGTGGAGAGACGATTTATTACATGGAGATTTCGACAATCAGGGCAAATGGGGAAGATTTGGCACAGAATCCAGAGATTATGCACAAAGCTCATCACATCAACCTCTGGAAGCCTTTTTACATGTTCCTTTCATGCATCTTGTAACCACTATTATGGGCTATGAGACCTTAAGGGTACCTGAATTTACCATTGCCAGGCTCCTAATAGGGAATTTTAGGGAATCCCTATATAACCCCCATATATAATTTATTCACATATTCCCTACTAACCACCAGTAAGTTTCAAGCATCTTGCAACCCGCTTGAACCGGCTTGACCGAGGTCCGGAACTCCGGTAAAAACGTTCTTCAACCCGCATCCGTGCGCCGATGACTGTTTATAAATAGTATATGGCTTTGGCTACATTATCATAAAATCCCTATTACCCCATATTCTATCTACTTAAGGGGGACTCTAATTGTGTTTGTGCTGGATTGTGGGAGAGACCTTTACTGCATCAAGCGTATCGCGGGAAGTAACTAACTGTGTACTGTTCAGGGTCACAGCAGGAGTAAGGTACGCCAATATGCTGACGTACCCTTTAGCTTCTGTTTGGACGCTGCAGAAGGACAGTGTTTGAATAGCGCTGACAGTTTGCGTCTCTGCCGGCAGGTATGGTGTTCATGCCTTAGACATTGCGCCCAAGCTGCAGTACCTGGTGACGCTTTCTGCGCCCTTGCCTTATCCCTGAGGTTCTTGAATAACCTTTTCTATTCCATAAGTAGTTAAAACTAATCGAGACGCTCATGTCTTATTGTAACCCAACAACACTTTAATTTCCAGAATTTCCAGTCTCCACGGAGTCACATTTGCGATTGGGAGTTGGCTTACTGGTCAGTCTTTGTAGTGCTTCTGGGGGAAGGAGAAATCAAGGAGTTTTAGTTGCAACTGCCTAGCTAGTAGCATGCCTGCTACTTGCCAGCCCATCAAGCACTCGAAAGTCACAGCCAAAAAAGCGCCTCAACGGTTGACTCTCGTCTGCCTGAACAGGACAGCAAAGGTCTGCAGCAGGACCTCGTGAGGTCCCAGTATCCTCGTGCCCATAAAATAATGTGAAAACAAGGCTGTACCACGATGGGCTATTAGATCTTAAGGGTACCTTCATCTACCCTTACTAGGGTCCTAATCGAGACTTTTAGGGTCCAATAGCCCATAGTGGTATCCCATCAGGTTGGCGAGTGCATGTGTCGACAACATGCGGCTGGGTTGTACGCCCCAAATCAAACGCGGAAGTGCAGCCTTTGGAGCTTGGATGGAGGTAGGAGATGAATAAGCTTTGACACTATAATGTACCATAATATCCTATATTATATTCTATTTCACTATGTTAAACTACATTTTACTATATTCCCTGCACCACACATTTGTACCTGTTAAGGCCACCCACCTCAGTTGCTCACGCGGCTTCTTTCCACTTCACAATTCAAGCCTTGCCCCTAAGTGATAGTTTGCCAAAAATGAGGGGACCCCAATGTAGACCCCAATATACTATAATCATCTTTATGAGGACCCCCAAAAACGTACCCCTAATTTCAGAAAACTCCCAAGTCCCGGTGATTAAGCCCCGAGCTCCAGGCCCATACCCAGCAGTGACCCAATGGCATCCACAGCTGGCCAGGCAGATTAGCCACTATGGGCTATTAGACCTTAAGGGTATGGGTTTAGGATTTAGGGTTTAGGGTTTAGGGATCTACCCTTAATAGGGTCCTAATAGGGAATTTTAGGGTCTAACCGTAGTGGTGCCGGGATTTCTTGGAACGTCAGGTGTAGAGGTTGAACAGCTTATATAGGGCTTATATTGGGTTATATAAGGGTTATATAGGGGTTATGTAGAGGTTATATAGGGTCTAGAACCGTAACACTTAAATACTCTGGAGTAGCTGCAGTTTGGGTCTAGGGTTGGTTAAGGGATGTTGGCGCCCAGGCCCCTTTTGAGATGGTTCATAGGTTAGCCAGGGTTTGTGGGTAAGGAACCCTTGTTCCGCTATATGGGGCTTCTTTTGGGTTACATACTCCAAATAGGTATAGAGCAGACGAAAGAGACCATAAAGTAATTAGGTTTGCGTTGGAATGGCAATTCCTACAATGCCATGTAGGAACTATTAGGTTATATGTGAACCGATGAAACAGACCACTGTCCAGGGTGGTTCAGAAGGGTTCAGGGTTGATTGCGAGAGTTTTGGGCGTCGTAGACTTTTCTGAGGGGCCATGTTCAAGGATCTGAAGATGTTGAGGGTGGCATTGGGAACTAGCCAGTACTTAAAGGTAGAAGGCTTGACATTCTCTTGGGTGAAGACCCTATAAGGCACAGGTCTGGGCCGGGGTTTGGGTAGAGACGTGGCACTTGGGTCGTGGGGTGTAGGATTCCCCTAGGTGAAGAGTGCTGTCCTGTTCCTACTAATGACTAAGCCATGAGACGTCTTTTCTGCATTGCTTCATGTAGCATTGAATTATGTTGGATCAGGATATAGTCCCCTTAAGTAGATAGAGTATGGGGTATATGGGGATCTCATTCTAATGTACCCAAAGCCATATTCTATCCACTTAAGCGGGACTATATAGTTCGTCCAGGTTGGTCTGAGAACAGGGCCTTCCTTGTACCTCCCGGGTAAATCCTAAACCCTAAATCCTAAACCCTAAACTCCTAAACCTACGGTTTAGGGTTTAGGGTTCAGGGGCCCCATCCTCAGGGACTCTGGTGGTCTTCCGCCCATCCTCCCGTCGTTGCTACTTCGAGTATTTTCCAATAGTAGGGTCCCGGTATATGCACCCTCATGTCACTAGAATTCCGTCGGGACTTCATTGGGAGGCCTTGTCATACGCGAGTTCAAATTTCCTGTTATCCTTGTTCTCACTCCGTTCTCTCCAACCTGATACCCTGTTCTTATGTGAGCCATAGTCTAAACTCCTAGTATCCAGTTTAATAAGCCCTATAGTAGTCCCTTATACAATCCCCCATATAACACCCCCTTTCAGGAGTTTAGACCCTAAACCCTCAACCCTATACAATCCCCTATATATCCACCCTTAAAGGAGTTTGGACTACCGTTCTTGTGTGATGTCCCGCAGCGATTTGGCTTTTGGCAGAGCGGGGGCTCGGGTCCATCCGCCGCCAGGACGGCTGTGGGGCTTTTCTTCAGAATATTTCAGAGATCACAGGGGCTATTTATCCATCTATCTATCTATATATATATCTATATTCAGATATAGATAGAGATGGGTAGATAGATATGTAGATATGTAGATATGATATGTATATATATATATAGGTATATAGATACACGGACAGATAGATAGATTAGACGTAGCATATAGGAAGCAGCCAAGCCTCCAGGCACCAGGGTCTGGCATGAAGGAACACATGGATCACGGGCATAGTAGGTTGGCTAAAAGTTAGGTTCGGCTTTTTGAGTTTGGAGTTTTGGAAGTTTAGAGCTTGGGGTTAGGAATTTTGGGATAGACGGTTGGGGGGTTTGGGAAGATACTGCCATGCCGCAGACATTGCTTGGGATCCAAACCCTCAACCGTCTTGCTACGAGGAGTGGGCCTCGGCCCGGGGGCCGTGGGAAAGATGGCAGGCTGCTTCCGTGGCAGACGCGTTTAGAGAGTTGTTTAGAGTAATCTTTAGGGGGGGTGTCTACAAGGATTATACAGGTTGGGATGAGGGGTTGGGGTTTGGGGTTTAGGGCTTAGGGTTTGGTGAGTTGAACGAGGGTTTAGGGTTACGGTTAGGGATCAGGGTTAGGGATAGGGTTTTTGAGGCTTCGAGTTTGCAGAGTTGTATGCGGGTTTGGGGTTTGGGGCTTAGGAGTTGGTGAGCTGAATTCGGGGTCTTAAGGGCTTTGAGGGTCGCAACATCTCCGGCTGTCTCGGATGTAGAAGACGCGGATCATTTGGGGGTTAGCTTGGAGGTAATACCGATTTTCATGGGGGGCTCTTATGGAGACATGCTGCAGAAGGGCTAAGGGACATGGAGACCTGTGTCGCGGAAGCATGAAGGAACTACATTTGGGTTGGGGGCGATGGAGGTATCTTCATGCCGTGTAAGGCGCGTAATCCCAAGCCTCTCAAATGCTGGGTTTGAAAGTAGGGCTCTCGCGTGTGTGGCACCTTTCAAATCGATTCCTGTACGGCTATTTGTCAGAATAATCCGTATAGAAAGTCAAACAGTGACCCCGATAATCCACTTTTAATCCCTGTACGTCCCTGGGGGTCTCCCCCATGGATCAACAAGGAGATGGGTGAATGGTCATCAAACCTACACTTGAAGAGGACCCCGAACAAAGATGAAACAAGTGTTCTTGTCCTCACGGACACTGGGGTCTTTGCTTGAAGGTCCTTAAGCTCTGAGGCGTTCTCGAGACGCAGCTACTTCCAAGCTGTCACGGACCAAACCCTAAATCTCTGCACCCTGGAATCCTGATCTCTTGGCGTCATACGGCGTAGGAATCCCTACCGTATTCCTTAACCCTGAAACAAGAAGACTTGTTGTGGGGAGCCTCAAACCTCTGAAGCTCAAAAACCAAATCATCTCGGAGAGGGAGCTTTGCATAGTCCCTGTGGCTTCTGTCATCCCTCTCTCCAAACCCCTAAGCAAGGGACTCCCCTAAAACCTCATGTTCTACGCCCTTAACTCCGCAACTTGAATCCTGAGCCTTACCACTATGGGCTATTAGACCCTAGAATTCCTTCTTAGGCCCCTATTAAGGGTAGATTCAGGTACCCTTAAGGTCTAATAGCCCATATAATGGTTAATCATTCTTCCCAAACCCTAAACCCTAATCATTCTGAAAGCCCTGATTCCCACAATGCCCGCAGATGGGATGCTGCGCTCCCCGACCTTCTTGGTCGGGGCAGAAAGGCCATTGCTGTTTAGGTTTAAGGGCTTTAGGGTTAAGGGTTTAAGGGTTTAGGGGTATGGGTTTACGTAGGGTTTAGGGTGTATGTGAATGAAAAGCATCAACCCAAAAAACACCCTTCCGAACACTTCAGCAGGGTTTGTTCGTTGGGCCTTGGCCCATTCATTTCCTCAAGTGCATGCCCAGAGAAAGCGTTTTTTTTTGAACATTCAGAGGAGGTTCTGGGAGCATGTCAGAAAGCATTCGTGCTCTTGTGCAGAGTTTGGGTTTAATGAGGGCTCGGCAGGGTATGGTTTACACTGGTTAGCAGCATTGCCTCTGCAGGCAGAGAAAGAACTTGGATGAGTTCAAGCGCCGTGAGCAACAGCTAGCAGAGGCGACCATGTGCTTGTAAACGTTGTCATCCCACATTAAGGCTTAGACTTAGGTGTTTGAGGCTGGGTGGCTAGACTTCCGTGTGAGGATGTAGGAGCATTCAACGCATGGGGTTCAACTGTATTGGGGTTTGCTTTTGTGGCATGAACCGTAGGGAAGTTCCGTTTTGATCTAGAGTCCAGCTTCACCCTAAGCCCTAAGCGCTGCATTATAAATAGACTTTGTAGCCGCATCCTGCGATGCAGGATACTGTCGATTACAAAAATCCTGCATGACCACTTAGGGTCATGCAGGATTTTTATTACCCGCCGTAGTGCAGCTTGTTGTCTCTCTCTCTCTCTCCGTGGTTGAGTTTGGGAATATATGGGAGGTAACGAGAGCCCCAACACGCCTTCGCAATCCCAATTTAGGGCCCTTGCTAGAGTGGCGGACTGGCTTGAACTGTTTGGGACCCCTGGTTCTGATACTAATACCATGTTCTGGCACAGCCCTATATAGGGTCCAAAATGATGTTGTATGAGCACCACACATAGGTACATACCCAGTCAGGGATAAAACCAAGGCAACTCTGTCATCCGCTTGCCTTAAGCCCCACCCTAAACCCTAAACCCTAAACCCTAAACCCTAAACTACCCTAAACCCTAAACCCTAGACCCTAAACCCTAAACCCTAAACCTCAAACCTTTAGCACTAACCCAAGCCGGAACATGTACTTACGTAGTTGTCAGGTGGCCTCTGCTCTGAGAGCCTCCCGAAAACTTGCTGGTTGTTATCAGGAAATGAAGGAGTGGACAAGACAAAGGAATTCTTTACCTAGATACCCCAGTAGTACCCTTTTGCCCTTTTTATTTTGGGGTCTCCTTATTAAAGCTGAAGAGTAGGAAAAGGGTACCCTTATATTTAACAGGTTACTGGGGAACCTAGTCACATCATTCGGGATGACATAGGGACTGATTCAGGGATCTACTCTGCCATTCCCTACAAGCAGCCAGCAAGAAAAGAGCGCCCGCAGCAGGCATACCACAAGAACAAGCCCCTGTGCTTCAACGCCTGCTCCTACCAGAAGACGCATCCTGTGAAAGCTCAGAAGGGGCACAAGGAACTGGTGGAAACCGCTTATTTGAGGTATATACTTGAAGTCATGTAGGGAATCCCAGTATAGTTTAGTGTATTTATCGGAAGCCAGATAGGAATCTTAACATGCTTGAGGGCAGATGTCTTGAGTGTGGCGTTTTGGAAGTTCTGGTTGCGAGCTCTCCCTAAACCCCAACCCCGACTCTTAGGATTTAGGCAATGGATGTAACGTTCAGGCTTGCGGCTTTGGTGCGAAGGGTTTAGGGTTCAAGGTGTGGGGTTCAGGTCTTGAGGGTTTATACTAAAGGGTCGGGGGCTTCGGGGCTTTCCCCGAAATGGAATGGGTGTTTGTCATGATTATGGTGACTTTTCCAGGTCACTAGAATGCCCTAGAGCCTAAAGACTAGGGGCCATAATACTTTCAGGCTCTGGGGGCCCTGAATTCTGAGTTTTCCACTTGATTCTCCATTATAGTAGGTACCTCTAATTTGGGAAATCCCCAAGTCCCGGTGATTAAGCCCTAAACCCTAAACTCTAAACCCTAAACCCTAAACCCTCAACCCTCAACCCTAAACCCTAAACCCTAAACCCAAATCTGTGGCAGGATGCAGATGCCTGCTTGACAGTGCCCCTCGTGCTCGGAGTGGCGGATGGCGTCTCGCAAATCGAGGACTGCACGGGATGCCACTACGGGCTATTCGGCCCTAAAATTCCCTATTAGGACCCTATTAAGGGCAGATTAAGGTACCCTTAAGGTCTAATAGCCCATAGTGGTCTTTTTGTCTTTCCTGTATTCCCATGGTTGATGGTATAACTCCCGCATAACGTTGTTCTAGTGCAGGATGTCTTTCCGGGTGTATCGCAGTTTTCAAAGAAGTGGCCTGAACAGGGCAACCGTCGACTCAACATATGAGCTGTACTCTAAACCCTTTAAAAGGGGGTTATATAGGGGATTATATAGGGGACTACCATAGGGGTTATTAAGGGGGAAACTAGGAGTTTAGACTCTAGCTCATATAGGCTTCCTTGCCTATCTGCCCCAAAAAGAGAAACCAACCTCGCGCCATTCCCTCAAAGTCATGCTCAAACTTGAGAATCGGGTCCCCCTAAAGCAGATAGAATATGGGGTACATGGGGATCTTCTTAGAATATATTGAAAGCCATATTCTATCTATTTCAGGGGGACTATTTCTTTGGGGGGGGATTCCGGGCGGAATCATTCATTTCTAGAGGAGACTTATCAAGTTGATATGAAGATCTTTGTTCGTTTTCGTGGAAACTGTTTCTGCAAGGGGTTCGACCTGAAGGATCCATCATTTTTCCCTCGTTCTAGTTTTGACCTCAAGCGTCAAGCTCTTATTTTGGTGGAAAAGCAAGAAGGTCTGGTGCAGAATTGTAGTCACCCTCCGCTGGACTTGTAAAGTTCACCCAGCTATGCGTAGGGTTATTTGCGAGGTTGAAAGCAGTTATTAAGTCCCGTGAACTTTCAGGTAGGTTCACTACCACACTCTGGTTCCGATAGGGTCATGTAGAATTTCATCTGCCAATCCCATGGTCTGTTGGCATGGTAGACGTCTCATTCGACTAGAAATGTTCATTAACCCTTGAGAAAAAACACCCCTAATGTCAAGCTTTTTTTTTTTTTAATAACAGACCTCATATGACATTTCATATCAGGGGTTGGCGGGTGTTTCAGTCTGGGAGGGAGGAGGGTGACTATGTTGGTATGGTATGTGTCTGCTGAGTCTAGGAATATCAATCTGCTGGAGAACTGATTTGGCCCGGGGGTTGAGGGTTCGCAGAGAGGCTGTCATGGTGCTCGTTAAGGCTTACTCACCCAATAACCTTACTGGTGGTTACTGATTCTTATGAGGCATTGTCTAGGCCCTGAGACTTGAGATCCCTTGTTTGAGAAATTTGTTGGAACCGTCTGCAAAGTCTGCCAAAGCAGTGCCATGTTTACAACAACTGCTCTCAGTTGATGTTGTCAAGTTCTAAACCCTGAGCTCGAACCCACCAGAATGTTTCGATGGCTGTGGCAAGAGCCCTCAGATGAGTGAAAGGACTTTGGCATTGATGCCTCCATGCTGCCGAATGAGCTTCTGAAGGCGTGGTTGAAGCACGGAGGTTTTGGGGGGTCTCGGGTTCACCGGAGCGCTCACAAATTGGCTTGCCATTTCGTGTTGTAGTTCTGACAACGGGCGTGTGGAGAGTAGGGCTTTGGGAGTTGCGACCGTCAGCTCGGCTATGTTAGGTTCAGGAACCGGGGGATATTGAGTAGGGTGGCAGGTACAGCGCTCAGGAGTCCAGGATTTCGACATGAAAGTGTCTGATTTGGAAGTCTTAGTCATGGTATGTACCCCAAGCTGGCCGTCTAAGCCTTAATCCTGAACCCCCCCCCCTATGCCCTGTTCGTGGAAGGCTGATTTTTTACAGGGCCCTGTAAGAGACGGGTCCCCTGTGCCAGCAACAGAAGGAATGCCAATGTATGGCATCCTCGGCTTGGCGAAATCTTTTTCTTGCTAATCCCATCCTCCCAGCCTCCAAGAACACCCCCTGCCCACCCCCAAACAACAACCAGTATAACGGAGTTTGAATTTCAGGGGAGGGAGCGCATCGCTATGTTGGTACATCTCTGCACCCTAAAACTTTATGTGCTATTAGACCCTAAAATTCCCAACTAGTACCCAAATAAGGGTAGATTAAGGTTCCCTTGAGGTCTAATAGCCAATGATGGTTAATCATTCTTCCTAAACCTTAACCCTGAACCCTAAACCCTGAACCCTAAGCCCTAAATCCTAAACCCTAAACCCTAATCCCCCCAACCATCGTGGAACCCTTTCCTCTGATGTCTTGAGATGCCGGGCAGGTAGTGGAGCAGTTGGGCATGCATCAGCTCCTTGGAGCTGAGGTCAGTTCATCGTTTAGGGCTTAGGGTTCAGGGCTTAGGGCTTAGGGTTTAGGGTTTAGGGTTTAGGGCTTAGGTTTCAGGGTTCAGGGTTCAGGGTTCAGGGTTGAAGGTTTAGGGTTTAGGGTTTAGGATACGGTCTCTATGGGGTTTACTACGGTTTGGGGTGGGTAGTAGGGAATGAAGGAATGGGGTGCGGGGACTGTTAAGACTAAGAGTTTAGCATGTGTTGTTTGTGCATTGAGGCTTGGGTTTGAGATTGACAGCCTTGCGCGGGCCTGGTGTGTTGCGGGTTTTATCAGGTGCTTAGCCTTTTTGGGTTTACCTTTCCACGGAATCCTCTGTTAAAACCTTGATGCACGTGCACTACGCATACTTTGGTTAAAGAAAGGCCTCACTTACCCCTAAGCCCTAACCTGATATAATAAAAGTCGTGGGGATAAAGGCCTCCTACCATTCCCAAATCCCCAACGTTGAGGTATACAACAGAGCTGCTAGACCCACATTACCATCATACTCCCTGAGCGATTCCCAGTTCAAGATGATGCAAGAAGTATTCTGCGCACCAAGGTCTGAAATCTTCCATTCTGTGGTTTTGGTCCCGCTCAAGGATAGGATATTCAGCTAGGGTTGAAGACATGATATGCAGCTTCCGTATTGGGTTGAAACCATGAGTGAGCAATACTTTCCTCACATTTTCGACCCTTGGCACCCCATTGGAAGTACACCCTCATATACGGACAGCTGAGAAACCCAACAGCCGGGCAGACACCAAAGTGCGCCCACTTGCACGCGTGGCCCTAGCAAAAAAACCGAAATAGTAGTTTCCACTTACTTCTTCATTATCCCTATTTTGTCCGTACATATCTCGAGAATATTCTAAACACATCAATCTACTCCCAATATGTTCATCTTGAACGTGTGGCAGAGTCCAAGAAGTTTAGGTCTTCTATGCTTGCTTTGGGAGGTTTAACTGGCTTATTTAAGGATAAGAAAGGGGTATGTAGGTATGGAAAAGTGAATGGAAACTACTGTTTAGGGTTTCAAGGATTAGGGTTGAGGGGTAGAGGGATCTGTAGCCCAACAATGGAGAAGCAATTGGAAAGACTACAGAACATGAAATGGTCAGTGGGTTCGTATAGTAGGTTGTAGGGATCAGAGTTTTCCCCAAATAGGGATAACTTTTTTTGGCGTCCCTATAATAAGGATTGTAGTGTTTAGGGGTCCTGCATTGGGGTCAGCCTATCTATGGAAACTACGATAGCTCTCAATTCCCCTGTCCATAGAGCCTTGCGTCCACCTGGATTGTGCGGGTTGCATACAGTATCTACCTTCCCTCAACTTACGACCGCGGTCCTTTAAGCAAGGCTGCATTATGACTTTCACGTTTGAAGCGAGGCTGATCCCTGGAGTGAAGCTGCCGGCCGCGGACACGTGCCTGGGCTTCGCTGTTGACACGCTCTTGCTGGTGGGTATTCGGGAACGGAGGAACCCCAGTGCCAAAGGTATTGAAGAGATTGGTTGCAAGGACAAATAAGGATGCCTTGCTTGTTTTTCATATCATGTGCACGTGGGGAGTGCAACGGGATAGTGCAGTCCCTAAGCCCTTAACCCTAACGCTTAGACCCTGAACCGGTAATCGTGCTGTACTCCAAGGACCTCGAGCACTGTAATGTCTAGCATGCTCAAGCTCCGCGCAGTACGGGATCGCTTGCATCAGCAACACATACAGCCAGCCCCATGAACCCACACAGCTGAGCCTTAAACTATACATGACCAGACCCCAACCATAAACCCCAAGCCCGAAGCCTTAACATTCAGACATGATACGGGGGGTCCTCAGAGACCTATATCGAGGTACTCACAAGGAAACCGACCCCGAACCCAAAAAACCCAAACCCCAAAGCTCCGAAACCCCGAGCTCTTTTAGTCACGGCTGCAAGAGTACCCATTATCCAATCATAGACCACCTGTAGACCCTCACGTCCCTGGTTATAAGTGGGTAGGTTATCATGGCCCATGGACCTTCCAGTCAATCCTTGCCTCTTAAGCTTGTAGCCCTAAAGCTGGATTGTTAAGCCCTTAAATCCAAACCACCCAACCATGAAACCCTCAACGCCCTCAGAGCCCTAAACCCTAAATTTGACCCAAATCCTAAACCCTAAACCCCTAAACCCTAAATCTTACACCCTAAACCCCTAAACCCTAAACCCTGATTCTTACATAACCCCTACACCCTTTTCAAGGCATCCCTTGCCTAGGGATGGACCATCATCTCTAGGGCTCAGGGTTTCGTCCTTTACTTACTATGGCCATAGCCTATAAAAAATCAGAAATCTTTGTCCCAAAATCCCAAAAACCCTAAACCCCAAATCCCATAAGTTTTTAAAGCCAGATTTTCATACATAACCCATGCAACCCCTTAATGGGATCGGGATGCCAAGCCCAGGTATCGGGGGCCGGTTTCAATGCTCCGCCGGGCCTTTGAGGCGACCGAGAGCTTGGGCTCCCTCACCGTGGCCGGGCATTTTTGGATCCCACCAAGGGAGTTTAGGGATTGGGCACCCATTTGGTTGTTGAAGATTCTGGGTTTAGGGGTTTAGGGTTCAGGGATAGGCTTATGTGGGGTTACATAGGGTTACGTGGCTGGGCAATGTTTGGATTCCATTCCTGGGCTTATCGGAAAAGAACATGCAATGTCGCTGTTAGGGGTTTGGGTCTCAGAGTGGTTGAAGGGAAAAGCAAATGTAGAACCCTAAGCCCGAAACCCGATCCCTTCAAGGGATGTAGCATTTGAGGTTTAGGGGTGTAGGGGTTAAGGGTGAAGGACATAGTGTTGGGCATGGGATCTCATTAAAGTTAAACGGTTGTAGGGGTTATATAGGGAGATCAGGGTTTGGGGTTTAGGGTTTGGGCTTCCTCGGTTGAAGGGCGTTGGGAGCTTTTTTTTTTTTGTTGCAATTTTGGTTTAAGTGAAGTTGCATGGGGGCTTAGGATTTCTGAGTTATGGGCCCTTAGGGGAGTAGAAAGGGATCATGCATGGAATGGTGGCTGTAGCTGGGTTTCCAGGGTCCGTGGCTTCAGGGTTTGCGGCTTTGGGGTTTTGGAGGGTATAGGGGTCTCCGATGTTGGTGGCCTTTTTGAGCTGACCGTGATTCTTGGGGCAGGTTTTCTATTCTTGCATGTGTTCCTAAATGTCGTAGTCTTCCGTTTCTTTACAGTCAAGACATTGCTGCTTCGAGAGCAGGAAAAGAAAGAGGGACGAGGAGCAGATTACGTAAGTTTTAGTGCATGAGGTTTCCAATGACATGAGTGTGTCTCAAGCAGTATCGCATTTCTTCTAGAGACATTAGAGTTCTGTCATGTATACCCAAATGCGATGATGCTCAATGTTGGCATTCCCAGAGCAGGGCTACCTAGTTCTTGCAAACCCGATTTATCCTGACATACATCCTTATCTCATTATTTCCTGTATATCATCACATGGACCCTTTAGCCAAGATGTCTGTTTATTTTGGAAAGGCCCGGGAGGCAGTTAGCCTACAGGATAGCGTAGGTTTCAGGCCTGACAGTCATAGTTGGGTCAATAGTCCCCATTAAGTAGATAGAATACGGGGTATATAGGGCTCTTTTTTGAGCATACCCAAAGCCATATTCTATCTACTGAAGGGGGACTATGGGGTTATAGGGTTTAGGGATCGAGGGCTTGAGGCTTGAGGTTCAGGGAAGAGTTTCGGCCCTCAGGCTACTCCTTTGTTATTGCTGTTACTCTTATTGCTTGTCGTAACGTTGCTGCTTCACGATCTTCATAGATCAAGCAGTTCTGTTCCCGTTCCTCAGCTTGTCTTTGTTCTTCTTTTGACGCTGGTTGTGTATCTCACCGGTGCCCTGACCAGTAGGCTTTCGGTTGAAGACGGTTGTTCAAAGGAACAGGAAGTCTCTAGTTCATGAACAAAAGCGATATTCTGCTGCAAGCAGCCAGGCTGCATTCAAATTTTGACCGATCTTTAAAGTCTGGCTTGTCAAGGGTCGGTTTTTTGAAGCTAGCTACTTCTAAAGCCTGTTCGTAGCCTAGCCCAGGAATGTGGTTATGGCATCACATGAGCCTGCTAGTCTACATGAGGTGAGTTTTCCATGGAAATGTGATGTAAGCAGAGGGGGAACCTCAGAACAGCAAGGCTTCTGCAACCACACGTGCAAGACCCGCTTCCTTCTACATGATGATAGAAGATTATGCAAGGATTATGGACAGATAATAAGGGGGTCATACATTCAAACCTAGGGCTCTACGGGATATGCAGGATAATGCAGGGAAGCCTCCTGCACCGAAGCCCAATCAAGGTGGTTCTGGCCGTCATGGACAATAGCACTCGCATACACGGCAAGCTGCATCCCATGATAGCGATCATCACCATAGGCGACTGCGAGCTGATCGTGCTTCGGAGAGTCACTGGGTTTGCGGTTTAGGGTTTAGAGGGTCAGTTTCACGGTACAGGGATCAGACGATCCATGCCTTATTTCAACATCCCGCTGCTGTATTGTACTTGGGTGTAATCTGTGAGGGGGACTTTACCAGCAGATGGAAGGAAGGGGATGATTATTATAAGCGAATGCTAAAAAGGTTATGACGAGTCTCTTTAGTTCTTGATTTGTTTCTTCTTGAAGTCGCAGGCGCATGTTCTATGCACGGATGGATGCTCCCTTGTACAAGGCTCAATTTCAGAGATAGCAGTGGCGCTTAGTCCGCTCAAGCCTCAAACCTTGAACTCAACATGTCGCAAGTGCCACCATGGGCTATTAGATCTTAAGGGTCCCTCAATCTACCCTTATTAGGGTCCTTATAGAGAATCTAAGGGTCTAATAGCCCATAGTGGTACCAAGGTGAAGGGAGCCCGAATGCCCCTTGAGATCGTGTGCCACACTGAGATGCAGAGGATGGATACCCTAGACCTTACTTTCAGGTTGCGGCTCTGGCTTCAGGGTTTAGGGTTTCGGGTTTAGGGTTTAGGGTTTACAGTTACCCTTGCTTGGAGGACTGTGGGTGATAATCACATGCTTACATAACCAAACTTACAAATCAGGTAGGAGCCCTTTAGCAGATGTACAGCTATAAGTAGGTTTGCAGTGCCCCTGGACCTCCAGGTAAACCCTTGAAACTCCTCATTTCCCAGTATACCCGGAACCCTGAACCCTAAACCCCTAAACGGCAACTCCTAAACCTTACGCCCTAGGTCCTAAACCCTGACCCTGAACTATCCTAAACCTTAAGCGTCCAAGGACAGCTTTTTAGTTTCTCCAGGTTGCCATTTCGTGGAGTTAAAGGGTCACATAGCTTTTTTTTGAGTGTCTAGAGAAATTTGTAGAGCACCATAAGCCCCAAGCTCTAAACCCTAAACCCTAAACCCTAAGCCCCAAAAAACCTTGATTACGGGCTATTAGACCCTAAAATTCCCTATTAGGACCCTATTAAGGGTAGATTAAGGTACCCTTAAGGTCTAATAGCCCATAGTGATATCTGGGAGTGCACGAGTAGGGGCAACCCAAAAACATTGTAAGACTTGTTCTGAGGTTTCCCTAAAATGGAACCTCCCATTTTTTACGGCAGGGTTTAGGGTTTTTGGGGTTCACCATATGACCCCAGTTACCATGTCACTTTCCGTCTTCTTTTCCATTTGATTCTCCAACACACTATGGGCTATTAGACCGTAACGGTACTTGAATCTACCCTTAATAGGGTCCTAATAGGTAATTTTAGGGTCTAATAGCCCATAGTGGTAGAAGATCCAGGGACGTCGCGAGGGGTTTCCGCTTCTATATCTGCTTCCGGATGATTTGGGGATGGGTCCCTAGTTGGGATAGGTTAGGGTTTTGGGTTTAGGGTTTAGGGTCCCTAAACCCTAAACCCTAAACCTTAAACCCTAAACCCTAAACCCAAAAGATAGCTTGACATCTTGGAGCTTCAGGGCTCGGAGGAGGTCTTGGCTTTTCCTGTCCTTTTGACCAAAAACGAACATCACAGCTGAAGATTGACATGTCCAATGTGGGTTTCTGGGTTCAGGGCTTAGGCTTAGGGTCTCTGCAGGCCTCACTCCACATGCCATCGCTGTTCCGAACGCTATGCCCTCAATCTGAACATTAGAACTCCAACCCCTAAACCCTAAACCCTAAACACTTAACCCTAAACCCTAAACCCTTAGACAGCAACCCAGTCTGCTTGGAAGGATCGACGGCCATGCCCAGACTCCTCTGCAGCTGGCTGCTTGGTGGCTGTTGAGAAACGTAAATCTCAGTTGCTATAAGAAGGAAAGCCGAGTTTAGGGTTTAGGGTTAAGGGAACCCTATTATCTACAATATACCCACATTATACTATAAGAAGGGAAGCCTGTTATTTACAATAGACCCATTTCATGTTAACTTAGGCCCTGAACCCTAAACCTTAAACCCCATGTACCCATATTATGGTAAAAACTTAATTTACATTCCTTAATAGCAACGCAGGCTAGAGTGGATGCGCGGATCGACCCGAACTTCCACGAGGCACTCACCATCGAAGTAATCGAGACTGGGCATGGGCTTTGGATAGACTTCCTGATGGTTTGTAGGCATTTGGGGAATGCCGATAGTAAGAATCGCTTCTGGTAGTCCCCAGAAGTTGTATTCAACAGAATCTGCTAGCTGCCAGTAAGGTTTTTGGATTAGAGCTCAAGGCAAGAAGCATGTCAGGATTTTCAGACTGGTTCGCATAGAATCTCGATCCGTGATCTCCGAACTCCCCTTATACTTGCCTGTCTTTACGTTTGGGATGGATTAGGTAAGTTGAGGGACTCGAACCTAACCCGGAAGCAGCTCTGGAGAACAAACCTGAGACACAAGCCCTAAATCCTAGATCCAGAATGCTCTCCTATAGACCCCTCTGGCCGCGAGAAGAAGCAAGCTCCGGAGACTAGTATCTATTAGGCTGCTCCAACATAGATTCAGATTACACTTTCTTTTTCAATCTTCTTTCCCGTTTGACTCTGCATTCTGGGAGTAGTATCTTTATACATTACATTTTAGGCGCTTTCTAATCAGATGAAGCTTCCAGAAGCTCTGGGGACGATATGCGCCGAAGCCTAAACCCTAAACCCTAAACCCAGGAGAGGGGCAGTGCTGTGCATTGTGTCTCAGCCTATGAGGGTGACATTGTCATCATGGGCAGCGATGGCGTGCTTCTTGTCATGTACATAGGGATTACACATAGGGGTTCAGGGTTTTCCAGGGTTTAGGGTTTAGGGTGTTCCCAGGGATAGATGCGGGTTATTTTGGGGATGATGTAGGGGGAAGTGTACAGGAGTTATACGAAAATTTATACGGGCTTTACAGGGGGATTAGATAGGGGTTATGTAGTGATAGATCGGGGCTACAATCGGGAAATTACTAGTTGGCCTGTAGTGATGGGATAAAGAACAATCCTGGATGGTACCATTGTACCAAGCAGTGTGATTACATTCTCATTGACATTTCCAACTGCAGTAGCGGTAGACATCGAATCATTACACCTTGAGCCCTTTCCCTAAACCTAAGCCCTAATTGCCCCTAAACCCTAAACCCAAGCCCTTAACCCTAAACCCTTACCCTTAAACCCTACAAGCCGAGGTTCGACAACCTGTACCTGGATGAGATTATGGAGCTGGCAAATGGAATGCTACCTCCAACCCAGGGACATTTCTCTGAAATGCAGATGAAGGCATTGGCGCAGCAGATTGTTCCTCGACTTGCTGTTAGTATGGGTTTGGGGTTTAGGTTCAGGGTTGAGGGTTTAGGGTTGCGGGCTAAGGGTAGTTTTTTGGAGTTTCGTTCTGGTAAAGGTACTTGGTTCCGCAATGCGGAATAAGATCATGATGTGCAAGAATTGCTACAGGGGTGTTGATATTCAAAAGCATACATCCGGCTAAGATTCATACTGTTTATTCGTAGACGCGGCAATCCTAAACTCCAAACCACTCAGGTGGAGGCATGTCATGCGAAAACGAGGCCTGGGCCAAACGGGCAGCTACGGGAAGCCCCCATTGGTCGAGGAGGCAAGAAGGACGACACGTCCTGCGTAGTGGCAGAGGTCGTGGAGTGGACCAAGGACCGGCAACTTTCAGGGTTGAGGGTTTAGGTTTCAGGGGCAACTTTTAGCAAACTCAAAAGTCCTGACCTTAAATGATGGTTTATATAGAAGATGGTCCCAAATGGGCTTCATTTCAGGTTTCTGAACCTCTTTTTCAATGGCCAGCAAGGAGCACGCCAAAATCTGGTCCACTCCTGATGACGCCTTTGGGTGGACATCCATGTTCAACAACTTCCTCCCCCTCAACTTAAACGGCTGCTGTGTGGCCACCTATGAGTCCGATGACGAGGTAGACTTTCGGACACCAACAAACAAGAGGCCCAGTGCGGCTAGCCGCTTCCAGAACGATACTGGGTCAATGTTAGGGATTATATGAAGGGGGATATGGGGTATAGATAGGGATGTTATAGGGACATTTTTGTGATATATCGGGCTTAGGGATTCTTATGTACTTTTTGGGGTATGGGATTCTTTATATTTATGTAAAGGGATCCTTTTTTCTTCCTAGGGCACTATGGGTCAAGGATATGCCAGCCATGCCAAGCAGCGGGGTTCAGAGCCTGGGACCACAGTTAGGAAACCTGAATCCCGATTTTAGTTACTATAAATCCCTATTTTAGTGACTATAAGTCCCTGTTTTGGTTACTCAAAATCTCAAGTTTTGTGAGTTAACCGGAGCTCCTCAACCGCAGCCCAGGAATGGACAGATGAATGGACAGATGAACGGCCAGCAGAGAACCAACGGCATGAGCATGCCAAATTCAGTACCCAGCTCAGCCCCGGCTTCTGCAACCAACTACCCCTACCAACCAGCACAAACTGTACTCCCACAGATGCACCAAGCAACCCAAGCCCAGACAGCGCAACAGGCGCAGATGCAGCAAATGCAGATGCAGCAGCTTCAGCAACAGCAGCATCAGCAGCAACAGCAGCAACAGCAACAGCAGCAACAGCAGATGCCAATGCAATATCCCTCCATGAACCCATACCCAGCGTATGCCGCCAACCCCTATGCTCAACAATCGCTGCAACTCCGATGCACTTCATCCATCTGGGTTGCTGTTAAGGAACTTAAATTGAGTTACCATAATGGGTATATATAGTGAATAATAGCGTTTCCCCCCTAAACCCTAAACCCTAAATAGTAATTTATACGGTTTCCCCAATGTAGTAACTTAATTTAAGTTCCTTAACAGCAACCCAGTCTATTCTGTAGCTTCAGCCTCAGGTGCGAAGGCCTTGTCAGGTTTGAACATGTTGGATGTGGGTTCGTCGCAATCCCTTGTATACATACACATACACACACATATATGTATATATATATATGTAGAAGTTTTTACATATATACACATATGCTCTCACACATATACATATGTCACTTACGTAGCCGAGTTACAAACCCTCCATGATCTACAGTAAAACAGCCGGCGCTGGAGTTGGTTTGGGGTACACACCGCGGAGCTTATGGTTTGGGGTTGAGGGTTTTAGGTTTTGGTGACGGAATGCCTTAGCTGCAACACCCTAAACCCTAAACTTTACTGGGCTTACAGAGTGCAGGGATCACACAGCTTTTCTGCTGATCCAAAGCTGTTCTTTGTCTACAAAGTACTCGCGCATCTTTTTTTTGATATGGAGCATGGCTTGCATAGCTGGAATCGCACATGAGCACAATTTCAAATCAGGGTATTATGGTCCTCCATGATTTGCTATGGACTACTATAGGATACAATGATGCTCTCTTTTGGGTTGTTGTGTTCCAAGCTGCCTTGTTCCACCCACCAGAAACTTTCACACCGCCATGCACTGAACACTGAGATTCTCTGTTCTCCATGGTGGAGCATGCGAGCAGAGACATGAGAGCTGTCGATATTACAAATTTCGCATGGCTCTAAGTACCTTACACTTTGGAAGCCTGGTGTCATAGTTTACGAAGGTCAGGCTGGTTACAGTGTCAACACTGGGAGTCAGAACTGCTGCACCTGCCTCTCCAATGTGTGGAGTCCTTCTAGGGTGTACAGCTTGCCTAGCTATCGTGGCTGCGCAAAGAAGAGATTGCTATATTCTAGTTATGCCTGAAGCTTATCGAGAGTTGTATCTTGCTTTCGTTGCCTGCGTACGGCGTCTTGCTGAGGTATGCCAGCGGCCAAGCAGCCAACGCGGGTTGCTGACATGCAATTACTACGGGAGCCTGGTTATTTTTCCACACTATGGTTCTAATCTAGCACAATTGCAGTTGTTGGGTACTTGATAAAGGAGCCTAACATGATTTTGGTAATGATTTGAGCTTAAACCCTAAACCCTACTGTGCATGATTGGGGAAAGTTTGATACCTTTCCGGTTTAGGGATGCAGCAAGGTAGTTTTTTGAACGGTATCAAAACCTTACTCAGCTGAGTTCCATTTGAGACCCTACACACGAAACCCTAAACCGCGGAGCATGAGAAGAGTCCCCACATCCTTGTAGCAAGGTTACGGCTACGGTGGAGGTGGCTACACAGGCGTTGCAACGAATCCCGTCTATGGTCGGAAGCTGAGCCGAACCCTAAACCCTAAACCTTAAATGGTCAGAAGCTGAGCCGTTCATTTGTTCAAAGTTGGTGTTGTACTTTAATTGCGTTCCCACTGCTTCTTAAAGAGCACCCCGACGCTGATAGATTTTCTCTTGACATGTAATGTAATGGTATTCTGTTGAGACAATTTGGTGGGTGGACATGTGTATTATTGCTAGAGGGAGGGTATGAGGAGAGATGCTGTGCGCAGTATCGAGGCAGCTATGGTGGCTGTGGTGCTTACGGCCGTTACAGCTGATGTCCGGATTAGTTTCATGGCTACCTCAAGCTTTAGATAAGAATTTAGGGTTTAGGGTTAGCACACGTAGGGTTTAGGGGGATTAAGGTGTAGGAAAGGAGTATATAAGCTGAGCTAGCATGCTGAGAACATGTGAGACTCGCCTCCTGCAAGTCATTGCTAAGTTCATCTACAGCTAGCACAAAGAATCTGCAAGACTTTTGGTCCGCCAAGTATCTTTGAGGTACCGTTTAGGAGTTGACTAAACCATGTAAAAGTAGTCAGCTACAAGCGCTGCTGACTGTAAAAAACGCGAAATTCGTGCAAGCCAAAGCCTGGACTGAGATCCAAAAAAAAGCTAGAAGCTGGGTAGGCCCCTGGGATATTTAGTATTTTCCCTAATGGCTTTAATAAGGGACCCTATATACTAATTTTTTCAAAGGGCTTTAGGGGCCAACCCGGGAAGTAAAGAGGGAATGTCGAGGATTAAGGGCTTAGGAATTTAGGATTTAGGGTTTTTAGGGTCTAGAAAAAGAAATTTGTGGCTTGGAGGTGTGTTTGGGGTTGTAAAGGGTCTAGGAGCTTGGTTCCTAGATTTTGGGTTGAGGGCTTTTCGGGATTTTGGTTCAGGGAGTGATCTTTTGATTAGCTCTGGATCGTACATGGGGAAAATGCTTCTTTCGGGTCTTGCGCTCCAGCAGTTTCACTTTAGTTGCAGCAGCCGGATCACGCGAGATGGCTGCGCAGACAAAAAGTCGCGTTTTATTCAATCTGCGCTTAGGTTTGCTTGAGAATGAATCTCCGGAGTCTTCAACACCCAATTGCAAAAGATAGGAATAGCTCCGTGTGGAGTCTGGATCTTTTTTTCATATCGCTTCCGTGTCACAGGCTTCAGGGCCTTGGTTTTTGTTGGAACACCCTGTTTGGAGAAGAAGAGCTCATAAGATCCCTTCGTATCTTTGTGTCTTGTTGCCCGACGCGCTGTTTTATCAACATCAGGGGCATTCCGGGAACCGTTGCAAATTAAGACCACAGTCGAATTCAGCGCAGGGAGCTCAAACCTCTAATGTTCTCGCCTCAGTACGTCGAATAGTTTTTTGGGGCAATGACGAAGCCTGAGTAATTGCAAACATAATTTCTTTCATAACCTTTATATAATCAAAGACTCAACTCTTTTTCAAAAGGTCTCTACAGTAATCCCCTTCCCCTAGATTCCCTTTGTGGTATGCTATAAGATGTCGGAAATATTTCATCTTGGTGAGGCGTGGGGTTTTCACTATTAAGAGGAGGGGATTAAGCTACATCCTGGGCTACGGCAACCCAAGAGTGCTTAACATCCTGAAGATGCTGCGTCAACAATGTGCACCTGAACCTTTAAGTCTGTTCGGGTCATATGGGGTTTATTGAGGGTTATATTGAGGGTACAGGGTTGATATGGGGTGTATGTAGGGGTATAGGGGTATAGGGGTTACATAGGCTTTATACAAGGGTCATATAGGGGAGTAAACTCCCGAAGTGGGAGCGGCACAACAACAGGGGGGTCTCTTCTAGAAAGGGCTCCTGATGACGGGATCATCAGCTTGGGTAGTAGAACTCCTGAATCCGGAGCCCTAAACCCTAACTCTAGAGCTTCGAACCTGAAATCCTACATTTGAAACCCTAAACCTTAAACCTAGCCTCCAAACTCCATGGAACTCCTAAGCCTCTGCAGGGGCCAGACTCGACCAGCCGGACCGAGCATGGCAAAAGCCAGCAAAAGGAGGGGGAGCAGGCCATGAAAGTTTTCTGGATCAATGCTTAGGTTTAGGGGTTTGGGTTTAGGGTTTAGGGTAGGGATCCTTTAAAGGGGGATACGGGGTGTATATATAAATATATATATATGTATATAGGGATGTTATAGGGACTTTTTTGGGATATAGCATTTTTCACATTACGATTCCTGTTTCTTTTACGATTACCTCTACTAGCCTCAGGTAGGTCCCAAACAGTTTAAGGGCATGAGTTTTCTATTTAGTTGCTCGCCCCATTCGTCCAAGGCAAGCACCATAACTCTAAGCATTTGCGGAGCGCTTGTTTTATGTTGCCTTTGGTCAATTAGCCGAGGTATACCCAATTTGTCCTAAATACTTAGCCCCTGCCATTTTCCATGTGAAGGCTGTGGGATGTGAGCGAACTTACACACATAATACTCAGATGCTGATGCAGGTTTTGAAGAAGCTAAGTGCATTTCCAGATCTGGGGCATGCGGCACCTTAGCAGCCGCTGCTGTCTGCTGGTTTTAACCCTGAGCCCCGGACCGTAGTTAACCGAAGTCAGGCAAGAAACTGTGACTGCTATCACCCGTTGAAACTTGACCATGCCGCTCCGTCCACAGGTGCCTCAAGATTGCAAGAACACGCTGCCTTGAAGTTAACCTCCGACGCACCGTCAGATATACCACAAGCACCACCACACCTACCACCGTGCAAACGTTCTGATCACCTAAGCCCTGAACCCCGAACCCTGAGACCGCAACCCTGAACCCTGTCCTAGACTCTTAGACTTTTAAGACCCAAATGCTGAACCCTACAGTTTCCATTTCATTTTCAATTCTTGTACCCTACACCGTAACCCTACATGCCCCACAACCCCGGGCCCTAAACCCTGAACCTTAAACCTATGTGGCAGTTTCCATAAACAGGGTCAACCCCAATACAGACACCCCCAGCTCTGTAGTGCTTATGATTGAGATCCCCCCCAAAGCAAGGGACCCCTCAGTAGAGAAGCCCAGTTCCCATCTTATTTGATGCTCCACTATTGCGGCAATAATCTTAAGCCCTAAGCCCACAGCACTAAACCTCATTAATTTTGTAAATCCTTGTGCATCCCTATATGCTTTTATATGACCACCACATAAACTCAAGCCTGAACCCTGAACCCTAACCCCTAACCCTAAACCCTCAATCCCTAAACCCTAAACCCCTAAATCCTAAACCCCTTAACCCCTAAAACAATAGGATTACCAGACGATCTCCGTCTGGGACTGGCCCTCGGACCACGACGGTCCGGTCTGCACGGCAGCCGTTGGCACCCAGGAGCCGAAGGTTTTCAGGGTTTGAGGTTTAGGGTTTAGGGTTAAGGGGTTTACTGTAGAAGCTAAAATGAGTTCCCAGGTTATGGCCCTAGGTTCCTTAGGGTATTCACAGGGTTCAGGGGCTTTGGCAAGGCTTTCGGGTTGAGGGTTTGAAGCTTAGGTATTTCAATTTTAGGGACTTGGGCCAGGTTGTTTAAGGGCTGGGGCTTTTAAGGGTTTGGACTGCAGGGTTTGCAGGGGTTAGGGTTGAGGGTTGCAGTTGCTTTGCCAGGGTGTTGTAGGGTTTTGAGGAGGTACCGTGGGCTTAGGCCTATCAGGGGCTAAGGTTCAAGGCTGTTTGAGCTATTACGTTCATTGTTGTGGTTTCGAAGGGGAACCAGAAATTATGGGCTTTTGGGAGCGAGGGTTCAAGGTTGTTTGAGGTTGACCGGTCTAAGCGGGGAATAGTGTTCTAGTGTTTTGGGTAAAAGGCAGCAGAATACCTGCGCCTACAAGGAACTTTCCCGGATTGACTGTTTGGGGGGGGGGGTTCGGGGGGAGGGGCTCTGAGGTCTCGTTTACAAAGCTTACTTAAGCTAACATGATGTTGCAAATCTCTGGCGTGTGAAAGCGACCAGGAAAATTTGAAGCGTACGCACCGACTTTGGCTGCTGCATTTGTTCTGGTATCCTAAACCCTGAAACCCTAAACCCTAAACCGCTGCAAGTCAGAGCGGCTTCTGTGTTTCCAACTACAAGTAGGTAAGCAAAGGTCCAAAGATGTTCTGATGGACATTTTTTCCGTATCGCAGAATCACAACTCCTTACTTACTGGTTGTGAGTGGGAAATCCTTAAGGGCAATATAATAATCCCAATATAATCCCTGTATGATACATTTCCATATTTGCTGCTAAGCACCCGTAAGTTTGGACACAATTTCAGTTCTGACTTTCATTTCGCGACAGCACCAATGGGCTATCTGAGCGAGCTTGTGACTCAACCTTAAGATCTGGTGTCCTGGGCTTGTCTGGGTTGCTGTTGGGGAATCTAAGCTCAGATACTAGAATAAGGAAATCCTGTTAATTACTATATACCATTCTTATGGCAGCTTAAGCCCCAAGCCCTACATACCCACACTATTCTAATCTAACCCTATAGCCCACCCCAAAAGGGACCTATTATTTACTATATGCCCATAATATGGCAATTCAATTTATCTTCCTTAGAAGCAACCCAGTTATCCGGTTGTGTTGCTGAGAGCTGTCAAGATCCAAGCCCGCAGCGATTTTCTTCATACGTTGCTCCCTCATTCAAGGCTGACGGTTTAGGGTTTAGGGGCTAGGTTATACTGCATCCAGTCATGACCTTTGTGATTCATACTGTTTCGTGTGTTGTATCCTTTGGTGCACTACCAATATGGGGTACCACTAAACGCTAGACCCGAGAAGCATTCCTACCCCAAACCCTGAATCCAAAAAACCTTGTTGGTGGTTAGTAGGGAATAAGGGAATACAATCCCTGTATAAGATATTCCCTGATTCAAAACCCTAAACCCTAAACCCAATAAGCAACTTCTGAAGTGGTGAAGCCCCAACTCTAAACAGAAAACTCCTTCCCCAGAGGGTCCAAGTACCCAATAATTAGGTACTTGGGTTTTGGGTAATAGTAATTATAGTATAGATTTTGGGTAAGTATTTGATTCTCAGGTACTTGAACCCTTAGGGTTAGTCTTTGAACTACTGGAACTTGAGCATAGGACGTGCAAACATGCGTGCTCTTCAACGCTTGGGACACGCACGAGATAGCAACTAATGGTCAGCTGCTGAGAGATGGACCCTGCTTCAAGTAACTACGGGGAGCTTTGTGACTTCCTCTAGTATAGGCGCTTTTATCTGATTTCAGGGGTTTATGTTTGCACAGGTTTCGAACAGAGTTCATCTGAAACGTCGGATGCACTGTTCAAAAGTTT